TAAATTACAAGTGCAATTGATCCAAATTTTCCAAAACTACGCTATGAATTTAATTTTCATGATTGTCTTAGTCACTGGTCTACTGCTGTGAAGTGACACTATGACCAAGGCAACTCTTATAAAAGAAAGGGACTTTCTTTCAGTTTCAGTGGCTTAGTCTATTATCATTATGGTGTGGCAGGAGATGGTGGCATGCATGGCTCTGGAGCAGTGGCTAAGAGCTACATCCTACTTTGTAGAGAGGCAGAGAGACTGGGCCTAGCATGGGTTTTTGAAACTTCCTAGTGACACACTTCCCCCAACAAGGCCACACCTCCTAATACTTCTAGTCCTATCAAATGATCCGCTCCCTGATGAATAAGTATTCAAATATATAGGTCTATGGGACAATTCTTATTCAAACCACCACACTGTCTATACACACTCACACACACACACATGCACACACACACATATACACACACACATATGTAGTATTTACTGTGATATGAACCAAATTCAGCTGTACTAGTATCTGTGGAAGGAACTCAGAATAGGCAACCATACTTCTTTAACATAAGAATTGTTTGGGCTAGGCTGGAGACCACCCAGTACTTGAGCAAGAGCATGTACTGCTTTTGCAAAGGACCCAAGTTCAGTTCCTAGAACCTTTATCAGCTCACAACTGCCTGTAACTCCAGCTTCAGAAGACCTGATTGTTCTGGCATCCACAGGCAATGACATTCACATGCACACACCTACACATACACAGGCATACACACATACACAATCAAAAATAACATAAATCCTTTTTTAAAAAAATCACTTGACCTAAGAGCAAGCTCTCTCTGCCTTCATAGGAGCAGGGCATAGGTTTATAGTGACAAAGGTACTCTCCTCCTCACTCCAGCGGGAATTTAATCCCTGAAGATGCCAGCCCAAACAAAGGCCCTGTAGTGGCTGGTTTTGTGTGTCAACTTGACACAAGTGGAAGTTATCGGGTCAAGGCTAAGCCAAGTTCTTTTCTCCACCCACAGGATCATTCCTGAGTAAAAAATTCTCAGAATGTGCTGACTGATGGTCACCTGACCCTCTGGAAAGTTGTAGAGTTCAAATGCAGTCATGCTTGGTAGCCAATAGATTTAAAGGTCAACATGCTTAGCCAATAAGTTTGAACTGTAACCTTGCTGATGTAACCTGTGCCCCTAAAATGTATAAAAAACTGCTTGGAATAGCCATTCGTGGTCACCTTCTTGTCACTATCTTGAGGGACTGATTGAGGGTTGACTCCAACCCACGGGGAAGATAAGCTTCTTGCTTTTGCATCAATCTTTGTCTGGTGTCTCAGTGTCTCACTCAGGGACATCTCTAAGTAAGTACCACTGACTGAGGGTCAGGTCTTACAATCCATGTCTATACCTGTCATATCAATGTGTTCTCACTGAGTTCATCTGCACTGCCTAAAGTCAAGCTTGTAACTTTGAGCCACAAAATATATATTCACATGCTATAATAAAATATTATGTTTTTAATACTGGGGCTCCTTGGAAGACATTTATGTCTGCTCTTAAAGGAAGACTTTTATATGTCTGCTCTCAAAGGCTACCCTGCAGCTTGAGATCATCTGCCTCAGCCTCCCGAGCACTCAAAGTACAGCATGTGCCATCACAACTGGCCTTTATAGAAAAAGTATGTTTAAGTTTATAAACTGCCAAGAGCCTTGAAATTGACTACCCCATTGTGTATTGTCAACAGGCATGGTTGAGATAACCCACCCTTCACTTCCTAGTAGTTAATGTTATCAGCATGTTGGATATTAGCAGTTGGGTGTGTAGTGTGGTTTCCTATCTTTCTATCTGTTTATTTTTGAGACAAGATCTTACCCAGTAGCCTTGGCTGGCTCTGAACTGAGAGCTATCTAGCCTAGTTCTGGGTATAAAGGTATACACCATCCAGTTTGGCCTGATTTTTCAATTTTTATTTGATGTTTCTTTTCTTTTCTTTTCGTTTCATTTCATTTTGTTTGTTTTTCGAGACAGGGTTTCTCTGTGTAGCCCTGGCTGTCCTGGAACTCACTCTGTAGACCAGGCTGGCCTAGAACTCAGAAATCCGCCTGCCTCTGCCTCCCAAGCACTGGGATTAAAGGCGTGCGCCACCACTGCCCGGCTGTTTATTTTCTTAATATTCAAATTTTCTTTAGATTCATTTTAAATTGTTCACTGAAGAAAGACTATCGTTTCCTTCACTAGTTCCCAGTTTACTGTCACTGTGGCCTTTCTTCCTGAAGAGATAAGTTCTCCAGAGGGTCTCCTTCTCTTCAGGGTCTCCTTCTCTTCAGGGTCTTTTTCCCTGCAGGCAGAGGCTGGCTGCTACAAGTGCAATTCAGAAAGAGAAATAGAAGTACTTTGAATAATTTATGTTTAAAAGCACTAAACTTGACAACTATACTCTCTTTCTCAACTCTAGGCTTGCAAAAAGAAATGGTAATTTAAAAGGCTCAGTAATGTATCTCCTGAACCAAATACATCTGGACACTGTTAATGAATGAAAAATGATAAATGACATGGCCTACACATCTGAGTATCTGCAAGCACTCCTGGCCGCCATTTTTGAAATAGCATTGACAGATTTTGATTTGATTACTAACTGAAGCAGAGATAGAACCCAGAAGGCCAACTTCATTCTTAAGTAGAAGGTAACTGTCGGAGGCTACCAAGATGCAATGGAAAAGAATCAGAACTTTCTCTTCCACTCCTCCCTACACGAGTATACGGTAAGCATCTATAGGAACACATGTCAATAGCTGCATGGAAATGGAACTTGCTGGGTGTGGTGGGGCCTGCCATTCATTTTAGGACATTCGAGATAGAGACAGACCTCTGTGAATTCAAGGCTATTTTGGTCTAAACTGCAAGTTCAGGTCAGCCAGGGCTACACAGCTAAAACCAAGCCTTAAAGTTAGATGAGAGTGTATGACACATACTTAGCATCTATTTTCCTTCCTACTTTCTTTTTTTTCTTTTTGGTTTCTCTGTGTAGCCTTGGCTGATATGGAACTCGCTTTGTAGGCCAGGCTATCCATGAATCCATACCCTTCCAATTTTATTTCTCAAAAAACATCTATCTTAAGCCAGGTGTGAGGACACACCTTCACCTCTTTAATCTGAACTCAAGAGGCAGAAGCAGGCAGATCTCTGAGTTTGAGATCAGTCTGCTCAATAGCTGGAATAGAGTTCCAGGACAGCCATGGCTATACAGAGAAACCCTGTCTTGAAAAACCAAACCAAGCCGAGCCGTGGTGGTGCACGCCTTTAATCCCAGCACTTGGGAGGCAGAGGCAGGTGGATTTCTGAGTTCCAGGCCAGCCTGGTCTACAGAGTGAGTTCCAGGACAGCCAGGGCTACACAGAGAAACCCTGTCTCGAAAAAAACAAAACAAAAAAGAAAAGAAAAACCAAACCAAACAAAATATAAAACCATCTATCTTTATTCCTCACTTTATCTCAGCTCTCTCACTTCCTTAGATCGTGGACTTGATGGCATAAAACAAAGCCTAGCATGATTCACCAGGTTCTTACCTCCACGTGTGGTTTATCACTCGTGATGAAGAAATTAAAAACTACCATTTAAACATATCAACTGTTTGGAATTAAAGACACCTGGAAAGCAGCAGTAAAAACATTCTCACCTAGTTGTGTTAGTGCATGCCTATAGTCTCAACACACAGAAGGGGTGAGGCAGAATTGTAAGTTCCAGGCCAGTCTGGAATAGAAGTGAGACCCTATCCCGTTACCACCACCTTCGACAAAGAAAGAAAAAAGAAACAGCCCACCCTAAACCAGAGGTTTAGGCCTCATCTCTCCACACAATGACTGTGATAACAACCAGGGTAAATGACTACATTCTTAGTTTCTTAGGTCTAAATAGTCCATGCTGGCCTCCTTATCTGACTCCTGGAATTATAGGTATGCGTGACCATGCCTGGCTCACACTTTAGGCAATCTGTTAAGAAGTTTTCTTTTTCTGTTTTTAAATCTTATTCATTCATTCATTCATTCATTCATTCATTCATTCATTTTACATCCCAATATCAGTGGCCCCTCCTCCCAGTTCCCCCCTCACACAGATCCCCCAATTAAGTATTTTTCATACATCAGCAGTTCAAGGAAGCAGTCTGCATTCCAATTCCGGTTTATCTATGGCTATTGTGAGCTTGCAGCCACAGTCGTTTAAACCTTTCTAAAGACTTCTGTTAGACTGTTTACTGTGTCAGTTTCCTATGGGGCCTGGGTTACAAATCCGTAGCCTTAATTCTCTAGCACCTTTGCAGTGTGCTTTGTTCTTTCAACAGATACTTGTTTTATGCAGGTCTAAAGGTAGTGAGTTATCTCAATTGATTGGTCAGGTACAAATACTTGTTTTGTGTTAGTGTACTAGAGTCAAGGAAATGAAACTTCACCAAGAATGTCCCTTTTGTACCAATATAGAGAATACGTATTTAACATCAGCTGAACAGTCTCAGAGTTACATACAAGTAAGGGAAAAGAAAGTGGCTGCCAAGTCTAGGCAGAATTTTATTCAAAATTGTGCAGGAAAATAGAACAATTTGTGAGCAATGCTTATTTCAGCAAAGCCCAAACCGAAAAGCTGAAAAGGAGACCATTAGAGGTTGGGTCACGGGTGAGGGCGGGGCCACAGCGGCAAGGGCGGGACCTCAACCGCAGGGTTTGGACCCGGGAGGAGGATAGTCGCCGCCACAACCACGCAGAGCCCGGCCAGGCCTCTGGGCGGGGCTGCAACACCGGGGGCGGGGCTACCGCTGGGGAGTAACGGAAGCCGAGCAGGCTGGTCGCCTGGGCCGCAGACCTGTGCGTTCGCTGAGGTTGTCGTAGTTCCGGCCGAGCGGCGGCTGGGTTCTGGCGCCTGGCGGCTGTCCTGCGGGCAGGTACTGGTAGCGGTGGGTGTCCCGCTCCGCCGGCCCAGCTCCCGCGGGATCCCCGGCTGGTCCGGGCCCGGGCGCCGCACTCACGGCGGCTCCGTCGCAGGTACGGAGCGAGGAGCAGCCCGCGTCCTCCGAGGTCAGCGTCATGAGGAGCCTGCCGTTCTTCTGCCGCGGCCAGGTGGTGCGCGGCTTCGGCCGCGGCTCCAAGCAACTGGGCATCCCCACAGGTGAGCGCGTCGTGGGGCCGTGGAGCTCTGGACTGTGGGCAGGGGACCCTGTGGCCTCGCTTCTGCCTCTGGGGACGAGCTGCGGAGCCCCGTCCTGGAAGGTATTGCAGGTTGGATTGGCCGAACTCTCAAGCTGTTGAAAGTTCTATTCTTCTGATGTTACTGTGTAGTGATCGATGACAACACGGGTAGTTCTATGAGAGCCAACGTTTATTTGGTGTGACTACATAAGTTTTAGTAATCAAGACTAGATTGCCCATTCTTAAAAATGATACCTTGGGCTGTGCCTTGACCTGTTAAATCAACCTTTGTATTTGGGATTTCGGGTTGTGTTTTTTGAAAATAATCTTTTTAAGTAAGTGACTCAGCCTACGTAGGAGCGTTACTAGGAAAGAGCAGGCAGGGACTTTCTGTTTGTTTTAATTCAAACAGATGAGGTCTCGCTCGGTTTCCCAGGCTTCTTCTTCTTCTTTTTTTGGTTTTTCGAGACAGGGTTTCTCTGTATAGCCCTGGCTGTCCTGGAACTCACTCTGTAGACCAGGCTGTCCTGGAACTCAGAAATCCACCTGCCTCTGCCTCCCAAGTGCTGGGATTAAAGGCGTGCGCCACCACCACCCGGCTACCCAGGCTTCTGTTGCTGAGTTCTGGGGATTTCTCGTAGCCTTCTGAGTGGGGACTACATGGACAATTTCCGATGAACCTCCACAGCCTTTGTTTCCACTTGGGCATTTTCGTGTGGCTTTCTTTCTTTCTTTCTTTCTTTCTTTCTTTCTTTCTTTCTTTCTTTCTTTCTTTCTCTCTCTCTCTCTCTCTCTCTCTCTCTCTCTCTCTCTCTTTCTTTCTTTCTTTCTTTCTTACTTGCCTTGTGCCTCATTTCTGACCTGTGCTGTCTGAAGAGACGTTCAAGTCAGAATGTGGAGAGTTGGATTGTAGTCTTAGAAAGAAAAAAAAGATCCTGGGAGTGTAACGATTCAGGTTAACCTTTTAATGTGTTTTAAATCAGTACTTAATGTGACACTTGCAGCAATGATTGTGTTTACTTTTATTTAGCCAATTTTCCTGAACAAGTAGTAGACAACCTTCCAGCTGATGTGTCCACTGGCATTTATTATGGTTGGGCCAGCGTCGGGAGTGGAGATGTCCATAAAATGGTGGTGAGCATAGGATGGAATCCGTACTACAAGAATGTGAAAAAGTCCATGGTAAGAGTCACATTTTGCTCTTTTGAACGCACACAGAACTCTTCAGCTTACTTAAGGGTTTCAAAGTGTAAAGTATTGCCAAACGTGGTGGCGTACTTCTTGGGCTGAGACTTTCTGAGTTCAGGAATAGACAGGGTGTGGCGTCACACACCTTTAATCTCAGCACTTGGGTTAGGTGGATCTCTGAGTTCAAGGTCAGACTGGTGTATATAGTTCCAGGAGAGTCAAGACTAATAGATCTTAACTCAAACAGACAAATAACAGGGAAAAAAAGTACCCCCGGGGTGTATGCTATCCTACACTTCCACTTCATTCCTGACCTACTCCCAAACATGTAATTGGATTAGGCTTTTGTAGTAATTTTCTGTTAATGTCTCTGCATTTTGATTGACAGCTATAATCCATATAGATTAAACATTTTATTTTTAATTGTGGATGTGTGCATGAGCTCAGGTGCCCATGGAGGCCAGAAAGGTTGGATCCACTGGAGCTGGAGTTAGCCCAAGCTGTCTAGCTTGGATGCTGGGAACCAAACTTGGGTCTTCATGGGTTGTTAACTGCTGAGCTTTCACCGCAGCCCTCCATTTCAATTTAAAGTGACTGCTGCAGCCGGGCAGTGGTGGCGCACACCTTTAATCCCAGCACTTGGGAGGCAGAGGCAGACGGATTTCTGAGTTCGAGGCCAGCCTGGTCTACAGAGTGAGTTCCAGGACAGCCAGGGCTACACAGAGAAACCCTGTCTCGAAAAACAAAAAAATAAAAATAAAAAAATAAAAAAAATAAAGTGACTGCTGCAACCATACTGTTGGACATGCCTGCCATCCGAACACTCAGTCACCAATTCGGGAGGAAGAGGAGCCTGTATTGTACTGTGAGATCTTATCTCAAACAAGAGTATAGAAGGACTTCCATTGTGTTGCTTTTTGTTTTCAGTATGTCCTATAAATGGGCTTTTCCACATCCCTCAAAATTACCTGTTTTATTTGGTCATTTTTCTGTTTGACACAAGAAAACTGTAGCTCAAACATTTGAGTCTTCCTCCTCTGGTCTTCCTTGTGCTAGATGGCAGATGTGAGCTACCAGATACTAAAACGATATTTAAACGACAAATATAAACGACATTTATATTTGTCAGAAATAAAAAATGAAGTGTTATTTTGTTTGCTTATAAGACAGAGTCTCACTGTGTAACCTTACTTACTCCCAGAAATCCATCCATCTGTCTCTGTGTCCACCTGGACCTCTCCAGTGCTGGGATTAAATGTGCCATCATGCTGAGTTGTTTTGTTTGTTTAAGGGTCTATTTCAACCTTCTAAGTACCAGGATTACAAGCATGGACCACTAAAGAGACTCAAAAATGATGCTCTTTAAAAAGCATTTCTTTGGATCATTGATTGCCTTAAGATACACTGCTTACTGTAGTGTGCTTTAACCTCATCCCTGTTCTTTCTTCTTCATCTTTTTTTAACTAACATTGCTGGGAATCCAAGTAGGCTTCATATCTAGGGCCACAGCATACTAGGCCAGCATTCTACTTAGCCTCTCTCACCTTAAGTCTTTTTTTCTGCCCTATGTATCCCCACAGCTTGCATACTTACTGCATTTGGGTTACTCTTTTGTAGCCCAAGTGTGTGGAAAAAGCAGAGTTAGTGGTAGAGTTTTATGGTCTTGCTGTGTTACCTCAGCTGACCTTGAACTCATGAGCCATTTTCTGCCTCCTGAGTGCCAGGCCTGTGCTGAACTTTTAACTTTGAGGAGTTAATAAGAGAGAACTGTGTCAGAAAACCGCAGAATTAAGATGCTGATGTAGCAGACCAGTGGTTCTCAACCTTCCTAATGCTGTGGCCCTTTAATACGGTTCCTCATGATGTGGTAACTCCCAACCTTAGACGTATTTTCATTGCTACTTCATAACTGTAACTTTGCTATGGTTATGAATCATAATGTAAATATTTTTGGAGATAGAGGTTTGCCAAGGGGGTCAAGACAGGTTGGGGACTGCTGTAATAGATAGTAATGACCATTCTCTCCCTAAAGAGTTCATGTCTCTGAGGTTGTGTTGATTGTTTAGTGGGCTGAAAATTGTTGGGGAGATAAGAAAAAGTTGATATGAGAACGGTCACCAGGTTTTCTGTGGGGAGAGGAAGGAAAAGGGAGGAGTTGTTTCCTTTCCTTTGTAAGCTACTCAGATAACAGAAATAATATTATCAAGCCCATTTCTGGGCTGCCTTGAATTCTTCTGATGGGAGAAACTCACTCATGATCAGGGTGCTCATGCAGTTCAGGGCAGGCTATTTAATTTTAATGTTATTTTTCAATATTAGCCATCTATGAAGAATATTTTACCCTAATAGTGTTGTCCCATTAATTTTAATAAGATTAATTTCATTTTAGGTAAAGGTCATTTTCTTTTATAGCTTGTGTTTTTAATAATCTAACTGGGGATCAAACTCAGGTCTTCTAGATTGGTGCCAACCACCTTTACCCACTAAGCCATCTCGCCTGTTTTTGAGAAGGGTTCTCCATAGCTTAATCATGCCTAGCTCCCGAGTGCTGGGATTTCAGGAGCTGTTGTCTATCCTTGGGCCCTTTAGCACACTGACTGTCCATAGAATTAAAACAGCTCTTCCAGAGTGAGCCTGAGACCTTGCCCATACCTAAGAAGTCTAACACTGAGCTGTATCCAGGGGCCCAACCCCTTCTGTTTTTATTTGAGATGGCTTCAGTAAGTTGCACAGGCTGGCCTTGAATTTGCTCTGGAGCCCAGACAGGACTCTTGCTACAGCCTCTTCAGTAGCTGGAATCACAAGCTTGCAACCAGCGGGTCTGATTGTTGTTAGTGTAAATTCCCTAGTTCTCTTTTCACATTTTCTTGGATAGTTTTGGTTTTATATTAATTTTTGAGGAGCTTGTTGGTTTTTCTGTTCCTCTTATTTTTAAGGGTCTTTTTGAAATGTGGATATAAAAGAACATGTGCCAAGAACTTCCCTCTAAATTGAGAAGATGGGGAAGAACTGTAGCAGCTGAGGCTCCTTTGTTAAGTTGCTGAAGGCTCAAGCAGCCTGCACATGCATGCCTGCCTGCAGTCTCAGTCCCCGGGAGCTCAAGGCCACCCTGGGCTGCATCCAAGACTGTCTTTACTCAAGGTGTAGTATGTAGGTCTTTGGAGGGCTTATCCAGTGAATAAAAGACTGAGTTTGATCCCTAGCAGGGAAGGAGAAAAGAATTACAATAACTGGATGGACTCCAGGGTTTTATGGGTATTTTGGTTTGGTTGGTTTGGTTCTTTGTTGTTGTTTTTGTTTTTTTCAGCATAGGGTTTCTCTGTGTAGCACTCACTGTCCTGGAACTCACTCTATAGACCTCTAGATCTTAAGAATAAAACCTGGGTCTTCTGGAAGAGGACATCTCTACAGCCCTGCCCCCCACTGTTGTAATCTTTTTCAACATTTTTGTCTATAGGAAACCCATATCATCCATACCTTCAAAGAGGACTTCTATGGGGAAATTCTCAATGTGGCCATTGTTGGCTACCTCAGACCTGAAAAGAACTTTGATTCTTTGGGTAAGAGTTTATATTACTCTTCAATACTACTACAGCTACAACTGTGTAGGCAAGACAGCAGGCATATGTTTGAGCGTTTATTAATGCATGTTAGGCACTATAGTTTAAGTAGCCTACAAGTTAATCGCTCTCACTTTAAGTAGCCGTGTGCGATGTTGTCATGCCCATTTTGTTGTTAAGTAGCCACAGAAAGACTAAGTTAGTGCCTTAGTCTGTTTTCTGTTGCTCTGACCCAGTACTAGGTGTGTATATGGTTCTAGTTCTGGAGTCAAGAGCATGATAGGAGCATGTGTTCAGTACTTGGTGAGGGCCTTCTTGCTGCCTTAGTGGGTGGGCATCACAGGGTGGGGCGAAGAGAGCTCTTGCCTAACAGCCATTCTCTGTACTCAGGAGTCCATTCTGCCCTCCTGGCCACTCCCCAAAGTTCCCATTCCCAAATACCTTCAACCTTAAGGACTTAGTTTCTAGTACCTGAGTTCCAGGGGACACCCGAGTCATATAGCACTTAGGTGGTGAGTGGTGGCACCTGGCATCTGACCCTGCAGGGCTGTATGGGCAGTAGATGCTGGAAGTGTAAAAGGGTAATTAGAGATTTGTTTCTGGTGTCTTCAGGTGCCTGTTGGTATAGTGTGACAAACCCTGGGATGTGAAGGGTTCCTTTACAAGAGAACACTTTATATGACACTGGCTTTCCCTGGAGAGAAAGACGATACCAACATTGACTGAGTCCCGGTCCTTTCCCAGAGCTATGGCTAGGGTGCTTAGTCTGTTTTTAGGAGAGCCTGAGCAAAGGAGTGGTAACATGTATTATTAGAATTTTTTTTTCTTTTTTTCCAGAGTCACTTATTTCTGCGATTCAAGGTGATATTGAAGAAGCTAAAAAACAACTGGATTTACCAGAACATTTGAAACTCAAAGAGGACAATTTCTTCCAAGTTTCTAAAGACAAAATTATGAATGGCCACTGATGAGAAGTACTTTCCCTGTCCACCCACTAGTGTCTCAGTGCTTCTGATACAGTCTCATCCTGTTCCTATTTTAAATCAAGCGTTTCTCTGTAGATGTCAAGAGGCCTCCAGCAGTTAGCTCCATCATGTTGCATAGTACTGAAGAGTCATGCAGAAATCAAGACTTTAATGTAATATGTTGATTAAAATGTAGCGCTAGAAAGCTAGTGTCTTGTAATAAAAATAAAGTCTGTGAGTGTGGGTGGAAAAGCAAGTTACTGAGGAAAATGAGGACTGGCCGTAGTTCTTGTGACCATATGTGCTGATGCTGGTGAGCCCAGCAAGCATGCACTGCTGAACAGAAGCTTTCCAGGACATGCACTACACACACGCATAGCTTACCCAAGGAGGAAAATCTAGAGTTACTTTATTATTTCATACATTAATATATTTTTAGAATCTTGTAAGCTTTCGTGAGCCTTGAGTCACTCATTCCCCATGAGGTCACTTCCTGGTAGTGTCCCAATGCTCTGTGTGGAGTTACTTCAGGTTGAAGTGGCCTTGATCGCCCCCGCATCAGGTTTTCGCTTTTCTGCGGTGTACTGAGGATCCAACCCAGTGCCTTACATGCTAGCAAATGTGACCACTGAACTAGGCTCTTGGCCCCCCTTTTTTTTTAAAGCCATACGATGTCTACATGTTTCCTTTTTGAAGAATAGATGTTTTTGCTCTTTAACATTTTGTGATTTTTGGTTTCTTCCTTTTTGGCATACCCGACAAACATGTGGCTCAGAGATTGCTTGTGTGTGTGCGCCATTCTGCTCAAAACTAAATGATGGTCAAGTGCAAGGATGCATTGTATTTTTAAGAAAAATAAAACAATCTGTATTTATAGACTTGCTTGGAATTGAAATGAACACAGCCAGTTCCTACCCAACCCTGCCCTGCCCTTTTTTTTTTCTAAACTGCTCTCGTATGTTTTCAAAGTAAATATAGTTCTCTATGAATAGGTACTTAAATATTATTTAAAAGTCCTTTTAGCTTCAGAAACAGAAAAAGTTTTAGTTGCATATCTTTCTATCTCCTGGTTTCCCTCTTATTCTAACTTGGCGGCTTGAGTTGTGTATGTTAGCAGAAGGTTGACATTGGATGACCGGGACTGCTTTGGGCTTATCAGTGCATTGAATCATCATTTGTTGAGTGGCAGCAGGTTTGCTGAGACAGAGGCACTGCCTGGTGAGAGTGTACATGTTAAAATAGGCAATTTTAACAACACACAGACTTGCTCTCTGCATGTGTGTGCAAGTGGGTATATGGGGAGGGATGGAACTCAGCCCTGTGAATGTGTTCTATGACTGAGCAACATCCCTAGTCTTCAAAATAAAATTTTTGATGTTGGAAATCCCATATTTAAAGGAAGCCTTAATTATCAATGGATTTATGAAGGAAAGTTAAAACAAACAAACAAACAAACATGGACAGTACAAAGTAGATCTGTGGGTTTTTTTTTGTTTAGTAAGAGTAGTTTGTTAATTATGTCCTTATTAAGTATATCAACATTCATGGCTGATGTCATCTCACGTTTTGTTAAACAGTCATTACTTTGGAATTATATAGTGTGTGGTTTAGGGCTTAGTTAATTCTCTAGAGTTAAAAAACTGTGTTGTGGATGTATTATGAGAAGTTACAGTACCACTTTGATTGGTCTGAATGTTTGCAGGCCTTGGAATAAAATTTGACTGTTATTTTTTTGCCCTCTTCCCCTGTAAACTTGAATCCTGTATCTGTTTCGGATTTATTGGCTGATTGTTACCCTAAGGTGTATTTACAGTCCTGAATAGACCTATCAAATAATAATGCTCATGTGACTAAGAGCTTTTGCCTTCAAGGACCCCCCTTCCCAGGGATTCCAAGGATCTTTCCTCCTTTTAAGAGATCTTACAAGATCTCTGTATACCTGGCTATCCTTGAAAGTACAGAGATCCAGCTGCTGCTTCCTTCTGAATGCTGGCATTAAAACTGTCCATCAAGCCTGACAAACCCTCCCCACCCCCCTTTAAAATTCCTGTAGCAAGGTGACTTCGTGGAAAGGATTTAGAGGATATCAGTACTCAAAAAGTCAACTCTAAGTTCCCATTAGGAGTTTGACAAGTCTGAGTCTGTATAATCCTTGAGACTGTTTTGTAACCATGGCTTGTGCCATCAACCCCACACATTGCTGCAGGGAATTCTTGCCTGTTACATATAAGTACATTTAAGCACTCATCTAAGCTCTGAGATGGCTTAGCAGCTTGCAGGTAGAGGCGATGGGGAGGTGTAAGAACCAGTAGCTTGGAAGTTACGAGAACAGTCTTTGCTGTTGTCTTCCAGTTCACCTTGTACTTGGGACAGATGTGAGACTGATAGAAGAAAATCAGTTTCATCTTTACAGACTAAGCTAGGAAACAAATCAGACCTACCAAAGAGGATGTGATCATAGGAGTCAGAAACACTGGGTGGAGAGTTTTCCACAGATGGGAGAGAATCTGAGTACTTGAAATGAGTGTATAAAGTAATTAGCATGGCCATGCTATGTCAAGGTTGTGGGAAGCCAGGTATGGTAGCATGCTCCTGGAGCTCTAGCATTAGTGAGGCTAAAGCAAGGGCACTTCAGCCCTGAAGATTGAGAAGACCTGATCAGCATAGTAAGGTCATCTTTAAAAAAGAGGGGGAGGGGTGGGGTTAGGTCTGTAGTTCATACATAGTGGCTATACTTAGCATCTATGAGGCCCTGGTTTCAATCCCCAGCACCAAACCCAAAACAAGAACAAAAGTCACTTGTATATTTAGAGTATTCAGAAAGTTGGGAAACAGGATGAACTTTTGAGTTGGCTTTCTGTCCTTTGTTTTGCTTTTGTTTTTGACACAGGATTTTGCTATGTGTGTAGTCTAGGCCCACTGGGAATTGACTGATGTCATTGTGCCTCAGTTTCCTAAGCGCTGGGATTATGCGTGCTCTGTCATGCCTGACCAGCAGTAAATACTGTTGTGCTACAGCTCAAACCTCAAGTAACTGCATGCTGGGCAAGTAGTCTAAACAGCTCCATCCCCAACCCCTTGAACCCTTAATCTCATTACTTAGTTCTGCTAAGAACATCTTAGGATGAGGTTTAATTTGTCTGTATAGCCCTTGCTGACCTTAAATTCAGAGATCTACCTGCCTTTGCCTCCCAAGTTCTAGGATTAAAGGTGTGCTCCACCATACTCAGCTTAGGTTGGTTGGTTTGTTTTCTGTTTTGCTTGTTTTTTATTTTGTGTTCATCTGTGTGTATGGTTGTGTGTGTGTGTGTGTTGTGTGTGTGTGTGTGTTTGTGTGTGTGTGCACAATGGTGTGTGTATGATGGTCAGAGGACCCTGGGAGTGAGTTCTCTTCTATCAAGTGGGTCCTAGGATTGAATGCAGATTGCCAAGCTTGGTGGCAAGTGCCTTTGTAACACTTGAGCATCTTGCTGGCCTGGGATCTAACTTTTTAGAAACAGGGCCTTGTTATATTTCTCAGTCTGGCCTTCAGCTTAAACTGCTACCTAAAACTTCCCAAGTGCTGGGATTGCAGGTGTGTGCCACTGTGTGGCTGAACTGTGTGAGAACTTCTACCTGGGCTTCATTAGTCAACTTGCTTCTTCCTCTGCAGGTCACATCTTCCAGTTTTATACCAACAGTTGCATTTTCTTTATTTTATGTGCATGTGTGTTTGTCTGCATGTATGTCTGTGCACCACATGCATACAGTGTCCAAGGAAGCCAGAAAAGGGTGTCTGATGTCCTGGGACTGGCCTTATGGGTGGTTTTGAGCCACTGTAAATGCTGGGAAGTGAACCCAGGTCCTCTGGAAGAGCAAGTGGTACTCTTAACCGCTGAGCCATCTCTCTGCCCCCAATTTTAGTTTTTACTCAGTGTATTCCAGAGCTACATTTATTTAATGTTTTTGGGAAATAAAGACTGGAAGTCATTGTAGGTCATGTGGGTTCTACCCAGAGTCATGTTCACCAATTGCTTGCTGCCAACCTAGTCACTCGAGAATTCCAGGTCAGGACAAAGGTCCTTTTAGACTCCTGAGTTTTCTATGATTTTTCTGGGGCTAAGCAGGGAGTAATTTCACTTACAGATTTGAAGGCATTTCATAGTAAAGGTTGTCCATGTAGTCTTTGTGTCAAATGAAGGTAGGTGTGTGTGTGTGTGTGTAAGTGTAAGTTTCAGATCTATTTCCTTAAATCAACAGTACCTGTTAATAGTGTTCCGAGAGTTCCAATATGTTTCAAAATTGAAGTTTTCTCTTACTCTGATTTTCTTTTACTCTTACTTAAGCTGCTTTCTTTTCCTGTGGATTTTCCTTAGCCTTTTTTTTCCCCTCTTAGAAAACAGAGGTCTGCCAAGTGCACACTGGAGGCAGAGATAGAAGTCTCCAAAACCAAGAAGGTCTCATACTCCATCTACTGCCCAGTGTTGGTTTGGGTTTTTAAAGAAAGTCTCCTCTGTGTAGTCCAGACTGGCTGGAACCTGTGTTCCTGCATGAGTGCTCAGAGTGTCTATGTCTGAAACATGGCAGACATGTTTGTGTCTTCCCCCAGTGTCAGAATATACTGAATAAATTCACAAAGTGCTATATCAGCTGGGTGAAATTTGCCAAATAGCTCTGTTTTCCATTGATAGCTGGTATTGGCAATCACATGTTTTTTATTTCAATCTTATGTGCTCAGATCACATGTGTTTTACACAGGTATGTATGCATGGAAAAGCCTAGAAAAGAGACTACAAAGGAAGCCTCCTTGGAGGCAGAGGCACATAGCTGATATAGTTGCAAGCTGAAGGTCTGGGGACAGTCTGGAGTTCTTTGGCTTGTGAAGTTTCGATAAGCCAGTCAGTCAGATGACCAGGTAGACAGGTTGGTGGGCCCATCACATTGTCAGCTGTGTTTTTCATGGAGTCCAAATAACACCTTAGTTGGTTTTGTGTTTCCAGGCCTGGATTTTCTGAGAGGACATTAGTACACACATGAGCCCATTTTTTCAGTCTCCTTTGATACATTTACAGATGGCCCCTTTTCACATATTTGTGCATGTCACATTACAAGACTGAAACCTCTCCTGCCCATTTCTGCCTTCCCCATCGGAAATTGCAGTTAGAGATGGGAAGGAGGTGAAGCAGTGTGCTTTATTCATGCCCCCAGATGATGAAGGACAGATGATGAAGGGATTCTTCACTAAGGACACACACACATGTATTGGTTCACCTTACATTGCGTGGCTGAGCTCTGTTTGTCATGACTCCATAGAAAGAAATGCACCAGGAAACTGGTGATATTCTGCCTCTGCTGGCTTCTTGCCACTTCCATTTCATTGGATTGGCAGTGATGTCAGCTGATACAGACTCACATGGAGTTTTGCTAAGGCAGACCTGTGGTGAGGCAAACCCCATGGAGGACAAGTAATGTTAAGCGGACACTGACTGGGACTTGCTTGCATAGTTAGCTTTGCAATGAATTTGTTGGTCCTACATCTTCACTGATCTTCACTTCATTGAGAGAGGCATGGTGGAGAACTCCTGGTCCCTGCTCATTGAGGTCACTCCTGACTTGTGCTGATTGGGTTGAGGCCTGGCTGTTTCTGCTAGGTCACGCCACCGCTGCTGATTCGTGTTTGCTATCCCGACACTACTGAACTGGACTACTGGTATATTCATGAAGTGTTTGCAAGTGGCTCAAGCTGCCACCAATGATTCCTGTGAACTGAACTGCCAATTTCCTGACAACACAGATGGGATTTGCTCCAAAGAGCAATTTCTAAACAGGTTCACTTCCCCCATATAGCTTTTCTTTTCCACTACCTCTGGCGGGTGATGGGCCAGGAGGGAGGTTAAAGCATTTAAAAACCATCATTAAAATTAGGGTTGAAAAAAAAATCCAAGCCAACAGAGCACACTAGGGATATTACAACTGAATTTCTCCAGAGGGGAAAAGTTACAGAGAACTCACTTTGTTTAGAGACTTCAGTGAACTTACCCAGGCAGGTTTGGTCTTTCCCCACCAAATCTAAGGCTTTTCAAACTATGCAATCTGAAATCTAATTAGCATGTTGTAAGT